TTTATGCATGTTGTGTTTTTTTTAGGGGCATCGGATAAGACGGAATGTCGGATAAGCGAAGGTCGGTTAAACGAGACTCTACTGTAAATACATAGATCCAAGGATGGATATAAAATTGGCAGTCACTCGGGGAGCGTCATCAAGGCGCCAACCGCCCCCAAGATTGGATAAGATTGTTGTCACCCCACTAAAAGACCATGGAAAATTCATCAGGGAGGGAACCGGGAGACCGTCTCCAGCTTCTTCCACTCCAGCTTGAAGAGTGATGGGGTGAGTTCCAGTAAGGATGAAGAAAAGGAAGAGAGCAAGGGAGCGACACCTACCTGCTAAAAGCAGTAGTTTGGGAACAGGGCAGTTGAGGAAGAGGTTGGAGAGGCCCCTGAACCAGCCCTCCCAGTATCTCTCCGTCTTTGCCAGTTCAATCCGCCATGTGTACGCTGCCTCTTTTTTGGTCTAAGGAGAGAAGAGGCCCTTTTGAAAATTGCATCCTTGCTTACAAGCCACAGATGCCGGCAGCTACGGAAATACCAGCACGGGAGAAGAGATGTGCATTCACACTGACGCTGATTCAGGGTCTAAGTGTAATCATGATAAAAGCCTCACTTCTGAATATATTTTCTAGAGAATTCACGCAAAGTCACACACGTGCCAGTTGGGCTAAAATAAGATACTTCAAGGAGAAGCAAAGAAAAATACAAGATGTGATATAGTCTTCTTGGGGACCAACACACAAAAAACGATGTTTGTATGACACACCTAACATGCTGCAGTTTGGGTTATGGACTCATTTGAATCCAGAGAACAGCTGAGATTGTGGTTAAAGGGTGGTGCCTCTGAATGTCCAAAATCCAAATGGCCTGTTTTGCAGATACACCATTTCCAGGACATACACAATGGCTGCTTCTAACATTGGAGCCACAGAAAATTTTGCGCCGGCTTTAGATGGAAAGTACCGGATTGGAAAAAGGGCTGTTCTAAATTCTTGACAAAGTTTACTCACCTCCACATCATCATCTTTCTTCTTTTTGTTCACAGATTCACCATTCTCACCATCTTCCTCATCCTCTTCCTCCTCTTCTATAATTCCTTCCACGATGGCTTTGGGGCCTCCAGGGCTCGTGGCTTCTTCGCACCTGATTTCAAAGTTTTTAAAGAAATGAGGAACACATGATTAAATTAAGCCCTTCGAGATTGGCCAACTCAGAAAAAAGAGATCCACTTAAAATTTCTGGAACAATCTTTATTGCTAGTGAGAGAATGTAACAGAATCTTGGAAGCCTGCCAAAGCAGTTTTCCAGATCAACTTATACCTAGCACAATCAGGAATGTTTTTGGTAATGGTCCTACTTTCTTCCCCTTGTTCCCAGGGTCTGTTATACATCCCATCACACACTGACTCTGCTTCAGATGTTCTATATCTGTCTTAAATAGATGTGGGCTACGTAACACCAGAGGAGGAGGAGGCGGCGGCAGCAGAGGAAAGCAATTGCTACAAAGACAATGGGACTCCCTAAATTCACCTTTCCAAATTATTGACGTACACTGTGCCTTTTTACTGTATACCTTCATCAGCAAGATAGGGACGAGAACTTGCACTGAGCTAAGAGAGAAATAGGAGAGTCTCTAGACACAGGCAATTAGCAGAGGGGAGAGGCTGCTGAACTCTAACCCCCAATTCTCAGCATTCAAACTTCTTAAAAGAAAGTCTGTGTGAACCTTGCTTCCCTGATCGTGCTCTGCAACAGTGTTTTTCAAACTTGGCAACTTTAAGACGTATGGACTTCAACTCCCAGAATTCATGCTGGCTGGGGAATTCTGGGAGTTGAAGTCCACACATCTTAAAGTTGCCAAGTTTGAAAAACACCGCTCTACAAGAAAGAGGCTTGACACAAGGGCGGAAATGGATGGATTTTCAAGTATGTAAGAAGGGAGGTGCAGATTGGGCACAGAGGTTGGGTTTGCTAAGCAACAGGGCTGCACAATTCAATCTCCCAAAAGTGATTGGGTGTGGGCAGGAGGGTTAACCTAGGACCTGTCTCCAGCTGTGCCCTACATTAACACACCTGCCAACTCCCAAGCACTTTTGGGACATCGGATCAGAGCCGTGCACAGCTGTAAGAGATGCTGTATACCACCTCCTCCTCCTAAAAGTCCCGAAGACATTTGAATGGCCATCTCATCCAATTGTCCTGGTTTCTTTGGAGGTTTGGGGGAAGGGAGTGGGGTGGTTCATACCCCGTCCAAGCTGCCCATCTATGGGACCTTCACGCCTGTGGATAAAATCAGAAGGAAGTTTAAAAAGCCAACATACTGTTTGACTTGGCCGATCATGGATACTCTAGCTGATTCGAGATTTCTGATCTGCCCACTCTTCACACTATGAAAAAAAGACAAGCAGTCATCAACACAGAATTAGTAACTGGGTAGCGCCAGTTTAATTTTCCTCTCTCTTTTAGTCAAATATTTATCTTGAACTTTTAAGTCCCACCTGTCCTCTCTCAGAGAAGGGCAAAGCACCTAATACGGGGTTCCCTGCTCTACTTCCAGAGACGGGGCAGTGAAGTTGGCTTAGTGTGATGGGACATACACATGGACAAGGGTGGTTCTTACGTTACCTCCATTCGATTGCATTTTCCAGAGATTTGAATGTTTTCGGGCGACTCCGAAGAAAGTTTTGCATGCTGTTGAGGGCATCCATGGCTGTCCCTGCATCAATGACAGAGGGGCACCTGGTGTTAAACAAACTAGCATATATCAGGATCCTTTTTGCTACCCAGACCTCGTTTGAAGGAGGTGAAGAGTTGGTTCTTCCTGCAAATGTTGGGTAGAGTGAGGCTGGAAGTCAGCGAAGCTGAATTGGCATGTATGGAGGAACGTTTGCTTTTGGGGCACTGGGAATTTTTGTTATGGTTTTAAAAATATTTATATTATTGTTTGGTGAGCTGCCTAGCCTTATATGACAGGCAGCCATATGTCTTTTTTTTCAAGTAATTTTATTAAAGATTATAATTACAATAGTAAAAACGAATACACACTAAAAGAAAAATAGAAAGTAAAAGATGCAAAAGGGAAGAAAAGGAAAGACATAAAGAATAGAAAGAAAAAAAGTAAAGAAAGAAAAGTAAGAATAAAGAAAAAGAAATATATGAAGAATGACTCCCATCCTCCATCACAATAAGTATAAACAATTTTAGTAACTTATCGTCTTCTCTTAAAATACAACAAATGATCTCTTCTTCCCATATCCATCTCTTATCTATAAACAAATCCTTAAAAGAATGACTCCCATCCTCCATCACAATAAGTATAAACAATTTTAGTAACTTATCGTCTTCTCTTAAAATACAACAAATGATCTCTTCTTCCCATATCCATCTCTTATCTATAAACAAATCCTTAAAGCCTCATCGTTTCAGTCCTGATGTCAGCAAAAGTCCATTAAGGGTTACCAGAAATAACAACATACAGGTAGTTCTCACTATCTGATCACAACAGGGACCAGAATTTAGGTCGCTAAGCGATTTGGACATTAAGTGAATTGGAGCTGATTTTACGAGCTTTTTTTTACTAAGGTCATTTAGTGAATCACCGTAGTCGTTAAGCGAATCACATGGTAGTTAAGCAAATCCAGCTTCCCCAATGGATGTTTTTTGCCGGAATTCACTTAATGACATGATTTATTTAACAACTGTGGTGATTTGCTTAATGACTGTCGTAAAAAAGGTCGCAAATCATGATCACGTGACTGCAGGGGTCGTAAAGCACTTTTCCCAAGGCCACTGTTAAATGAACAGTCGTTAAGCGAGGTCTACCTATATTCATTTTAACCTTGATCAAATAAACCAACTTTATATTCCTTTCTTTTACTTCTAACATTAAGATTGTTTAGTCCATCCAAATAATGTTGTAGAACTTGATTTCTTTTCATTTCTTCTTTGTCCCATCTCACAAGTTGCATCAAAGTTTTAACAAGTCTCTTTTGTAAGACCAATATAGAAAAATTATCCAGGTCACTCTCTTGGTTTATTGTTTGTATGTCTCTTTTAATTATTAAGACATCAGCCAGTTTCTTTTGTATGCCCAGAGTAACATCTTTTTCCATGTCATTCTTGCAGCCTGTCATTTGTAAGTCCACTTTCAACTCAGTCTCTGTCTTGTCAGGTAAAGCTTGTTCCTCTTCCATAACATTTTTTAGACACAGTCTATCCATAGAGGCAGATATTGCTATTGACATTGTTAATATTAATTTCTGACTCCATTTTTCAAAAATAACCTTCAATATTTCCAGTATTAGAATATTTTGTGCCATTCTGTAACTATTAGTCAAGTTTATGTGTTCTTCTCCTTTAACTGAAATCTTTAGTTCCCTCTAGTGTCCAATTTTTAAAATCTTATTTTTTAAAAATCAAAACAAAAGCATGGAAGGATTCTTTATAATTAATTCCAAAATCTTATTTCAAATTTATCTGGACCACTAGTCTGTTTGTAACTTTCTAAAATCAAAGTTTTAATCAATCTTTTGCTGTTTATTTAAAAAAAATTAAGTTCTTAAGCTTGTAGTTAAAAATTTCTTTAATTAAGGATTGACGGCAGACTCGATGTTTTCAGACTTGTTGATCCAAAGGTTCCAAATAACTGAAAAGCAGTGAACAAGCAATTTCTGAAAGTGATTAGAAAAGGAAGTGTGCGAACCCAGCGTCCTTTGAAAAGACGCTGATTGTGGTTTGAGCAAGATGGCTATTCCCTCGTCTCCCAGAGCTCTAAACCTGCCAGAGACTGCTGTCTTGTGGTCTCCTCATAGGGAGCAACTGTCTGGAGCACTTGTGGGTGATCTCAAGTCCTCTGCTTGTCCAGAGAGGAATTACCAAGAGCCGGTCTATTCAACAGCTCTTCGTTCTTCACCACAGTCATCGGCTCTGCTTTTCATGAAAGAGTCTTCAGTCTGCCATTTTTCCTCTGGAAGTTGGCCATATAAGTCTTTTAAGTAAATACATTTTGAGAGTCAGAATGAATTTGGCACAAAATTTATCTATGAGTGGAAGGAGAATCATAACTTGGATTTACAAGGATTTTAACCAGAGTCTGCCAGAAACAGCCAGTACAGCTGCACGAAGCAATGGGTTGGACTCCATGAACACTAAAATCCCTATCAACTCTATGATTTTAAGAAACAGTTGCATTTTTTTTCCTGAGACCAGAATTTTTACTGCCTAGAGTCTGAGATGCAAAGATGGAGAATCCTGCTGGGACACAACGGAGTATCAAAAGAAGATATGAAATATGAATGTGTGTGCCTGGCTGTTTGGGGTAACTTTCAAAAGCTTCCCAATCGCCAAGAAGACAAAAAGATACCAGCTCCCCAAACAATGGAAAACAATTTTTGCAGGCTTTGCTCGTGGGCGTATCATTTACAAACCTGTCATGAAGCAAAGAAAAAGGGTATCTGAGACCTGTTGGTGAATTAGGAAGGACCTGCAGCCTAACACAGAGAACAAACTTTCGCCTTCCAGTTTTTCTTTAATTTCTTAACACTTCCCCTTTTCTCAAAGATTTTTGGCTTGGTCTTTTCCAATTTTCATTCAAGTCCACTGGATCCTGGTCTCAGATTTCTGCACTGGGTTAGGACAATGTAAGAATCTTATTCAGGGAAGCTCCCAACCACTGTTTTAAGCTGAAAATTCTTAAAGAAATCCATTTATCTAGCGGGATTTTGAAAGTTTAGGTGTAGCTACAAGCAAAATGTTATCATTTTCATATGTTGTAACTCAGTGTTGTCCAAACTTGGCCACTTTAAGATGAGTGGACTTCAACTCCCAGAATTCCCCAGCCAGTGCTGGC